GCTGGGGTTGGGGGGGGGGGAATTCTGTTCTCCAAATGGGCATCTGTTTGAGCAAAGGCTTCCCAGAAACAAGCAACAAACACATTGAGCCCATTGCTCAATAACCACAGACGTTATTTTGCAATATTCATCGAGATTTGCATGGGTTTTACTGGGATCAGAACTTGGCTGTTTTTGTTTGTTAGCAATTTTTAGTGGCAGTAGGTTCAGTTGTGTCGTATGGATTGTTTCATGTCATCAGAGTTGAATTTTGTAGGAAGTTATCTGCCATTTCAGAATTGCTAGTTGTTGTGTATCTTGCAGCAATGCATTTGTAATACTGTAACCTGTAACAAAATGCCATGTAATTTAAATACCAGCTTTGCCTGGTGTTGTGTATCAGTATCCAGGGAATGTCCAAGTTTCTTAAATATTTAACTTATTGGATTGAACATTATGCATCCAGATGCATTATTTTCAAAACTTACTTAGTCTTGAAAGCTTCGATGTAAATTCTCCCAAGAGATGGATAGAGACAATTGTCACTTAGGTCAGCTTGTAGAAATGACACATAGAGCTTTTGAGATGAGCTCAATTGTTTTTACCAAAACTCAGCTTACATAGTTCTTTGAAACACAAGTATGATCAGACTTTTTTTTTTTTCTTGTACAGCTAAAGTATATGTTTCCTCCCCGCCAAAGATGTGCATATCCTTCCAGGAAAAACTTACTCTTAAGCAGCAGGTAAGAAATATGGGTAACAATATTTAGGGAGGAATAAGGACATCATTTAATATATTTAATCTTATTATACATTTTTCTACATTAAAGTCAACAGGCTGCAAATATATTCTGCTACAAAGCTTTTTGTAAGAAATATCTCTATAAGAAAATACATCTTGTTAAACATTTCCTGTAAATAAATTATCCCAAGTAACTAAGTTTTGTGAGAGGAAAAGGCAGGTAGGCTGAGGATAGGAAGAGCTAAAAATTGCTGAGAGCCCATTTCTGCACCCCTTCCCCCCTAACCCGCTCATGCTGGGTATCATTTACTTGCGTGCACGGTCATGATGAAGGCAATGGAGCTCCTCTGCTGAGTACATACTGCATCAGCGTGAATAACACTAGCAGAATTGACTCCTGTTGTTGTTTTTTTTTTTTTTTTTTTAAAGTATCTTGAGTTATGCTATTTCTGAGCCTTATTCCAATTTCAGTTACACAGGAAAAGCTGCTCTGAAATAACCAGAGTAGCACTGATAGGACTGTGAGATGAAAGTCTGACTGCGACTGTTAAAGAACAGAGGACCCTGTCTGAGCCGTCCATTTAGAACAATAAAATCTAACTCCAGTGGGGAAAAAGGGTAAAAGCCAGTGTAGCTCAGGCCTGCGTTCTACTTAGGAAATCTGAGTCAGGTGGTGTATATAACCTATAGTTTTAAAACAACCACTGGTGGAGACATATATCAGTGGAAAAAGGTGTATGAGGTGTGGGTGACATGGCCTTAAAACTACATACTGCTGTACCTAGGTTGCTCGGAACTGATTAAACAGAAAAGTCTCTTGCATTACAAAACATGAAAATGGGTAATTATAGCTTAGCAGTAGGTCAGTTACAGAATCAGACTTGTTTAAAGAAATATCAGTCTCTTTACCAATGTCTATATATAGGAATACTTGCAAATAAGTAAAGTGAAAAAGAATTTTAAAGACCTGTGTGAGAAGTCGAAAGATGGAGACTATTTTTTTTTTTTTTCAAACCAGTACACAAACAATGTAAATTCATTAGCTGTTTCCAAAGTCAATTTAATTCTGTCATTCCTGGCTGAGTAGCCCAGTGTGAGAAGAGATCGAGTTCAGGTTGCATACATGCTGGAGCTTGGTACACTGCGGTATCACTTGATACTTACACCAAGTCATTTGTGATCGTACCATCTTCTTGCATCCTTTTCTGTAGGAGAGGAGGTGCTCACAAGAGCCAGCACCTCTAAGAGACAAATCCATTTATGCTTCTGTGAAGTGCAATCATATTTAGCACTATTAGCAAACACGCTAGCCCCTTGCTACTATTAGAAGGCAAAACTTTTGCGTTTGTAACAGTACAGTCTGAACTTCCCAACAGGTACCCACATCATCTGTTATAACAGCAACAGGGGTACGATGTTATAGCTCTTCAAGTACTTCATCAACCCTCCATTCTCTCTTTTGGAAATATCTAAAATGCAAGCATATTTTGAAAAAGAAAGTATATTTAGGACTAATGAGCAACTGCCTGTATATAATTCTGGATTCAGCATGCACATATTTGCTTCATCTCTTCAAGCCAATGTATGCTAGCAGTCAACCGAGACAAACAGAAGCGATTAAGTGCCTTACTATGACATTGAACTACATAAAGCATTTCAATTTACCTATGTATAGGAAAAAAAAACCCTGTTTAAATGCTTCTGATTAGAGAAACTGCTGCTCTCTTGAAATCAGGAGGTGGCAACTTTTCACCTCTTCCATGAGGGCCTGCAAAATTTAGCACTCTTGTCCTGCAGGAGTGCCCTGAACAACAAGGGTGTGTGGACATTCACAGTAACCTTATTTCCATCTCTCACACCTGCAATGTGTAACCAACAAGGTGTTGACAGACAAGTCTTCCTGGCAAACACTGCTTCATTTGGGAGTACAATGTAGCAATGTATACAATTTATTTAGCAGTTATTACCCTGCTGGAAACCCACTGTAGCCCTAACACTCAACCCCTGAAACATCATGGGACAACACAGCAAGGTAAGTGGCACTAATTTCCACTGTACTTGTTTGCATACTAGCATTTCCCACAAACTGCTGACATTATTTACAGAAGAGCTGCACAATGGGAGAACTTCAGCTGCGCTTGCGCTTACCACAGGCTCAAAAAGAAACGCATTTGGTGTGACTTCTACTGCTACCTAGTTGTTACTTCAGCCATTCTATTTTCATTTGCAGTCCCCGTTTCCCACCGTGCTGTAATGCCTTAAATGCATAAAACCACAGTCACTTAATAACATCTTCCCAATCTTCATTCAGATTTTCTGACACACGTGAAGTCTTGATTTAGAAGAGGAGGTTGCATCCTTCCATACTTTGCAAGACAGCCCTTTAGCGCAGTCACATCGTTGGAAAATCTCCAGTCCATGGGAGCCTTTCTTGCGCTGTTTGGTGCATACCTCACCCTGATGCAATACAGGCTTGCAAATTTTGGTCCAGAAATGGCGAGCGCAGCAGTGTCCCTCAATACAATCAGACGACCGTAGGCAAGGGTCTCCTTCGTGTCCTAGAAAGAGCAACCAAACTATTTTACCTCATGGGAAAGAGGGAAAGCACAGATTCAGTGCAAAGGGATGCATATGAAGCTCAGAAAAAAGGGAGATGACATGTCCATCTGCACCTATTTGAAGGAGGTAAACACAATGGAAGAGATGAAGTTAGGAAAGTTCAGGAGGGCAATTGAGAAAACCTGCCATAAGACTTAATAAGGACCATTTCAGTTACAAGTTTATAAGTATAATGACAAGAGCTTAACTATGTGATTGCTACAAGAGGAGGGTGGGTGCAATTCTGCACAACTGAAAAATAAATTTTCACTCCACTTCTAATGCAGAAAAGAAAGCAAACGCTATTTCAAGGACAGGAAATGTTGGCTGATGTTACACCAGTTTTGAGCCATGCTCTGAACTCTCAAGACAGGTTCATGAGCACAGCCATCCACAGCCTCCCTAAATTCCCTTGAAATTACTGCATATTTTTTGGTTTGCATTGCTATATCTTGACTTCTTAACATGAAGGAACAAAGCAATATACTGCAACTGTGATCTTACCTTTTATGTGTGACAGTTTGGACTGTGGCCTCCCTAAATTTTGCCATCCCAAATCCTTGCTAGTGTAATGACCGTTCTTCTTGTTGCGTGGTCCTTCTAGAGCAGGGATGTGAGGTGTAAGGATGCTTTCGGTTACTGGTATGCAAATACCTGCAAGGAAAAGTCAGTCAGTCACAGATTTGAACAAGTGGAAAAGCAGCTGAAAGACATACTCAGATCAGGATGGGGACCATGAAAGTGCGAGGGCGCCAGAGTCAGCCCTCAGGAAATCTCACTTCTAAGCACAGCTCAGTCACTGATCCCAGGCACCTGACTGCACCATAACTGTGCTTCTCCTCAGGCTCCTTGTCATGTTGCCTTTACAGTTTAAGCAGCTAGAGATGCTAGCAGCTAGACTGCCTCTGAGATGTCTTCAGTCTCCACATGACACTTTACACAGTATGGGAATACAAATAGTAAGGTTGTAAACCCCAAGAAGTGATTTCAGCAGTCCAAGGATCCTTTAAGTCTCTTTTGCTTCCTGAAAAATAGGGGTTCTCTGCAATCTGTCAGCAGATCCAACAATATTTAATGTGGTGCTTGAGAATATACTGTGATTTCAGTCAGTGATGTCAGATGCTTCCCATTCCCAAAAGAAGAGGAAGTCTGGTAGTACACATGCCTTAAACAGTAATATACTATTCAAGAAAATGAAGTGGGGAAAAGGGTTAATGATGCATAACAAAATACTCCCTACAGTGCAAGACACTGGAATAGTTTAAACCATAACTTTGTCTCTTCAGGCATGGAATTAGTTCAGGGAGGAAAGGGGGAGGGAGGGGACGGACACAGAGGAGATTCAATAGCCTTTAGCCTGGCATGGCGCTCAGCTTTTGACTTGGCTTTTGCTGCTCTTTCTCTCCTTTTCCCCTCTTTTCTCTCCTTGCCTTCTCTCCCCTCCCATTCCAAGCATAGCACCCTCCAATCCTCTGTTAATAGAGCCATGAATCCAGTTAGTCGAATTTTACTCTCACGTGGCCTGTATTTCTGTTGGGCTAGGTCAGCATACAGCTTCCCTTTTTCAGGTATATTACGGACCTGAAAATGGAGTCCCAGATTAGACTGGTTTCCTATGCAGTTTTGAAAAATCAGGCTTTATCATCTTCCAGGAGTATAAGAAAAAGAAGAGTATCCAGAATCTTTTCTAAACCAAGGAAGAAGTGGCACGACAGGTGACCCATACAGCTAATATTGTTTTCAGTATTTCAACTTTTTTTTTCTCTTGGTTTAGAAAAGCAAGAACATTCACCCAGAAAGAAATATCTTTGCTAAGAACACACAGAGAAATGTATTTTCAGTAGATACTATTAAATTGCTCATTTTATGGAGGGAGAACAAGAAAAGGCTGAAGTACCGTTGTTGCAGCGATTCCCAGGGCAGCACATGCCATCTCTGTGGCAACGCTTCTTCTTCCTCCTGCATATCATGCACGCAGATGTTGCTTGATGAGGACTGTGACAGTATCGCCCAACTTCACATTCTTTATCATTGGTGCAAGGATAGGCCTGGTGGGTGAAAGGAGAGGTTTACAGTGAAGCAGTCCTTTGTACACAACACATTTCCAAGAAACCAAACAAAGAAAACCTGCAGGTGAGATACCGTTCTGTGGGGCCAGGACACACAGGTAGGGATGCTTCACAGCACTTCAGAGCTGGCAGATCAGTAACTACGTAGCCAGCTCTGATGCCATAGAGCAGCCCTTAGGCTCAAGTTGCTGGTGATGCTGTATTGGCCTAAAGAATCAGGGAGATGCAACCAGCTCCCTTGTGGTTTTAGCTTGTATTTTTGTGGGTTCCAAGATATTCAAGCCTCTGGGTCACAGAGAAAAGCTTAAAAGTATGAAGTGAAGAACAAATGGAGGCACAAAAACCTCTCTCAGTCTGTAAAAGTCCTGAAACACTCTCTGCAATAGGTGGTATTTAAATTTGGATCCAAATGCCAAGCAGGCAGTTTTCTTTGAGCGTTATCAAACACTTGGATGGATGGTAAGTGCTGTTCATATAGTAAACATTTATACTATATTGGTACAAGGTTCTTTGCAATTACACCACTCCCCACTGACCCACACCAGCTGGACAATCATCACTGATCAGCATTTCACGTAAATAACCTTTACTTCACTTATGCCCTTAGCATAGTTTGCCACCTGCTAAACAACATTCCTGTGATACGTAGCACGGAGTATATTGTACAGCACAAACTCTCTTGCATATTTAGCTCCCTGCAAGCAAAGAGACACATGTACAGTTCTCCTATACTAATCAAAACAAGCATTATCTTACAGGAAAACTGACTTTAAAAGGGGGGGGGGGCGGCAATCAAGTGAAAACACTATACTCTCCCCTAAGGAAAGAGTAAGAGACGTTCATTCTTTAAAGCCAAAAAGACGTGATGGTTTGAAACAACATAATGATGCTGCCACATTCTAGGATCCTTTTGCTGACTCCCACACAGTTACAACTATGTTCCCTGTCTGCATCTAATTTTAGTGCCTATTAAATTAATCATAGATTTTTTCCATTCCACAAAATTATACTTGAGGAATTTGTTTAGATAAAAAGATGAAAATAAATTTGGAGCGCTTTCTGGAAAACGATGTTTACACTTTCTCAACTAATTTTATTCAGCAATTTTAATGAATCAAAGCATTGCTTTACTGTTTTCAAAGCAACTCTTACAATTATTTGCTTACCACAAACAAAAGCGCAGTTGAATAATTTTCAATTTAGAATGATTACTTTTTTAATATCTTAAATCAATGCCTGATTGATTGTATTGTTCTTCTCAGAAAAGAAGAGTTGACAATTTGTTACGAAATATGTTTTAGATGAAGAACTACTTGTTTCTATCTTTGTACCATTCTGTTGAGAACTGCAGACGAAACGAGATCTGATAATAAAAACAAGCAAGTTCCTCTCGTGCCTTTAGTGGGGGGGGCAGGGGGGAACCATGCTATTTTCCACGATTTCACTAATTGTTTTCTTTGTCAAATGTTACTTTAAAAAAACAAAGGTATGGCTGGATATTTCCACAGCGCCGCTGCTCAGTTACTTCTGCCCTCCGAATAAGTGTCTCTGGAGAATGATTCCATAGTGCAGCTGTTTGGAGAAACTTGAGGTATGTATAAGGCTTTCCTCCTTAAGAATAAACATTTCCTCTCCACTTCATTCTCACTCATCAAAGAAAGCCAGATCTTTTAGGTAGGAGCAATGATTAGAGAAAAATGCAAACGGCTCACCTATGTGGTACTCTTAAGGAATAAGTGTATTCCAGCAAATCAGCACTAGAAAAGTGCTCTCCCTCAACTTCACCACTGCTTTCACTCATTCTTTACAGCAAAAAATAATTTACTATTGAGTAACAAAATATGGTATAAGTATAAAGGGAAAGGCTTCCCTGACTTAAACGGGACCTCACTCAACTAGGTGCCTTACAACAGAGAAAAGGACTTTATATAGACCTGCACATACTTATACTGAATTTGGAAAATCCTAACACTGCTAGGAAGGGGAAATGCAAATAAAAAACAGATGAACTAGCTACAATGTGGAGATGAAGGCATTTTAGACCCTTGTCTGTCATCAAGACCTTCACAACCGCATCTTTTCTCTAATATGGGCATGTGGTATACACCTGCAGCTTGCCAGCCAGAAGCCTACTTGCAGTTTTCTTTCAGTTCTGCAAATAGCTTTTTAAAAAAAGAGTTCCCTTATCCTGAATGGTGGTAATGAATGCTCTCACATACTGTATGTAATGTCCATTTTACTTTTGGCTTTTTAGGCTGAGTGATGTTTAAAAGATACTTAAGACATGCTCTTAATCACTAACTCTCACTTCTGTCTTTAAGAATGGTGAAAGTAGTAAAAGACTTTTTGACATTAAAAATTGCCAAGGGAAGTGACATAAATCCAGTCCTACTCTAGGTCCCCCATCCCAAATAGAGATGACGCTTTTGAAATGCAGAAGCAAGCCAAAACGTTGATACCTCAGATAAATTACTGCAGCACATCCACAAATCAGTTTATCTTGTGTGTAGCTCAAACAAGAACTGGCAAATCCAGCTGAAACCCCAAAAGACCAGCTGCCAGCCAGCTACATGAAAAGCCTCTTGCAAATACCTGATGCCATCATTTGCCTTGATCTTTCTTCTAAAACCACCATCCACTTGATACTCTAGTTATCAATCACAGGTAGCTTGAAGCAAATATATATTTTTCTGTCTCCGAGTCACAAGATATTCATTGGAATAACTCCTGACTCCAGCAAAGTAATTTTATCTCTGCACAGTATTGAGTAGTAGAACAGGAGAAAAAAAAATTAGTGTGTAAATAGCCTTAGCTAACAGAAGGGAAAATGAGTATATAATGTCCTGATGTCAGCAGTAGCAGAACCAATCTATATATACATAGTTTAAAATACAGGCTAAAGACAACATGCATATAAAAATGTACGATATTCATGTAGTAAGTAAGGCTAGACTGTATTTTCTGGCAATTGACTATGCATGACTTACTTAAGGTGTTCAGAACCTCCTACACCGTGGAGTGCCTAAAACACAGTCTTTACGTTTAGAGAATTGCAGAGAACGTTTCCTATATACAACATAGAGATACAAATCAGTCCCAGAAGGAGAGGGAAAAAGCAAGCTGTAAACCAGCCTCTACTTCCCCAGCAACACTAACCAGTTCTACAAGGCAAATCATCCTTTCGCATTCTGCAGCTATATGTATCATTGTCTTGTCGTAAACCTCTGTCCACTAAACACGGCTTTGATATATGATGAGAAACCAGGTCAAACTGAGATATAATACGTAGCACTCCCTGAAGCTGCATTTAAGCAATCTTATTTAACGTTTTCACCCCAGATTACAGGCCATCAGGTCACTAGTAGCATGGAGTAAACTAGATTTGCCTGTGATAATGAGCTGCATTTTCAGATTGTGTTGTCCAATTCCAAGCATAGTTTGCTGAACATTTTTCTCCCCAGTCATTCCAATTAATTATGTGACCTTGTATAAAACATACTGTTGAATGTGAGAGCCCAAAAAATGAACAGCAAAGACGTATTTGATTTTATGCAATGTTGGAAGATTCAAACTAGATCCTTAAACAAGCGTTGGTCATTCTATATGCCTTGATGTTCCCTGCATCAGTCCACCAAGACTAATCTGTGCCAGCCAAGTCACAGAAACACGTTACCTTTTTTTTTTTTTTGAGAGAAAAACAGAGAGAGACAGACAGAAACAGAGAGACAGAATATGCATCTCCATTCCTGCCCTTCCTGAATTTATACTCAAAATGCCAAGAACCTTTTATAAAATCCTCAAGGAAAATGATGCGGTCAGTAAGGGGGAAAGTTGTTTGGTTTAAGTTTGCTTTGTTTTTTTATAGTCGAAGAAGTCCTTCCTGGACTACTTCTGGGTCTTTCACCTTGCATTAACTTCTCAGTGAGACTAAGGAAGGGACCAACTGTCTAACTTCTGTAAGTGGCTAATACCATTCACTTGATTTTAGTGGTGTATGGGAATAAAGTTTTATTCCTAGCTTTGTCAACCTCTTTTGGCAGAGGAGATCTACTTAGCACCTTTTTTTTGGCTAACCTGCAATGAGGCCTTCTGGATATTTTTGCTGGAGTGATTTGCTCTCTAGCATATTTTATATGATACTCTTGAACCAAGGAGTCACATTGCAGGCTGGAATACCGAGTGGCAGAACCATCACACTAGGGAGTCGATCAGCCCGAGTCTCTCTGCCTGGCACTATAAAACATGACGCAGAAGCACTCTAGCAGAGGACTGAGAAAGATCCTTTAATGCGCTGAAGAGTGAGTGTCTGATGGCAGGCAGACATACTGAGCTGTGGCAGATAAGGCTTTAAATTTCAGCTTGGCCCCAAGCAGATATTTGAAGACCATACGCCTGGCCGGCGTCTCAGTCACCCGGCTTTCATTTGCTCATATTATGATGTCTCATTTGTTTTTATGCTGAAGCTGTTCCACACTATGCTAGCTAACTCTGCCAGAGAAAAGCAGGAAGAGCAACTGGCATTTTTACCTAAGGTGTCAGCACTTATCCAGCACACGCAATCCTAGGCACTAGTTCAGTTGCTCTGATGATCTTCGTTACAGTCACCTGGCACCTAAGCCATCACGGCAGGACATGGAGGAGCACTGCTGCTAGCTGAGCCCCCCCCAGGCTGATTTGGTGTTCCCTCATCTCCTTACTTTTGCCCCCAGAAGAGTCCTCCCACTGGCTGGCTTGCCAGAAGGCCAGGCCGAGCTTATAGCTGGGTGCAGTAATCCTTTGCAAGAGGAAGTGAGCTCTGGTCAGTTCCTTGCCCTCCGCTAACAGCAGCTACTTCTCCTGCTTCTTCACTCTCCTCCCACCCATTTGTTCAGAGGAATTACTTGCTGATTTCACATTCTCCATTAGGACTCTCTCTCTCAACAGAAAGGATTAATCCATGGTGTGTAAAAGCTGAGGATATGGGGTACCCTCACACAGAGGCCTCCCAGAATTATTTATACACCACACAGCAGCAGATGAAGCAACTGCCTGGGGCTGCCTTGCACTAGTTCTGTCATGTAGCTACTGGGCACCAAAAACCAAAAGTCTCTTCAGCTTATAGCCTGGTCTCCAATGCTCCAGAAGAGTGATGGCAACAGCCCAAAGTGACCCAAGTGCCATCAGTTCGCATGCCTCTCTTTTCCTTTGTATTAGCTGAGCAGGCCACACTGCTCACAATAGAAAAAAAAGAATTGAAACATAACATATTGAGGGATATCCAAACCCACATACCATAGCCTACCGCCCATTAGACGAGCTCAGCACCACCAGATATATGCTAAACATGCCGCCTGCTTTCCTCGGGCTCATTCAGCAACTGCAAAGGAGACCAGCTACAGTGAAAGAGAATGCCACGCAATAAGGAAATGGTCTAACATCTACTAGCTAAAGTAATTGTAAGAAAATGCAGTTTTTCACATGCCAGACAAGCAAACATGCCTCAGGCTATTTCCCCTTCAGCATATTACCCCTTTTTTGTATCCTGTTGGAGCATTGTCAGTTGCAACAACACTGCAAAGTACCAAGTAATACCTATACAAAAGGAATCCAGCAGATGGTAAGAAGTCAGGTTCTTCCTAAGACTGTCAGAAGGCTTCAAGTAATTGCCCCTTCACAGCCACAGGAAGGATCACAGAAAGAGAAGAGAAAACATCATTGATGGACAGTAGCACAGACTAGAAGAGCATTTTCCCTTACAAAACATGAAGGAATGCAACTCCAGTCTCTACTACCAATCTCTCATCAAATCTTGGAAAAGTTGATTAATAAAAATTCACAATTCCTATGGTGAGTGAGAGAAACTAAACATAACCTTGAATAACAGAATATCTAGATTAATGCTGAGATGGTCAATAGCTCCAGTGGCAATTTGTATAAAGAACTGACCAGGAAGGACCACCTAAAATGCAAGTCCTCGCATAAAAGAGGAATAACAGCTCTACGGTTATTAAGTCAACTGTATCACTGCCCTCTCTATTTTACAAGAACATTTTATACTGCAAAGTTGAAAAGTTCATTTGATTCTCCTCTTAAACGTGACCAGAAGTGGGCAGTTGAGGTTGGCTCCCAGCCTGCGGATAAGCACTTACCTAAAAACCCTTTAGTGGTTGCTTAGTGTCTGATGCTGCTTTTACTCTCTCTGTATGGTTGGTCTACACTGTACTAGGTAACAAGGCCAGAGAAACGAAGGGTGATTGAGCAACACATTTGTCCAACCTGTGAGTTGGCTTCAGCTTAATTCCTAACTGTGAAGATGAACTAATTATGTGAACATCATTACAGGGTATGTTGTGTGGCTCTCCTGCTCAGAGCTGCTTTATACTGAGTATTGATAATAAGGGGATGTGTTGTCTTTGAGGCTATATAGCTTACCTCCTCTCAACAATTAATGATGTAAACGCAAAGAAACCGTTCTTGGGATCTGATGAAACAATTGAACCACCCTCAATAGAGGGAACCGTCTGCAGATTGTCACCTCTCCTGACACAATCCCAGGAACAGTCATGCTTCCTATACCTCACTGTATAAGAAATCAAATCCAGGCAGCTACTC